TTTTTTTTTTTTTTTTTTTTTTTTTTTGTTCTTGGAGACAAAGTTTCCCTGCGTAACAGTCCTAGCTGTCCTGGAACTAGCTCTTGTAGACCAGACTGGCCTCGAACTCACAGGGATTCACCTGCCTCAGCCTCCTGAATGCTGGGATTAAAGGTGACACATTTTTCTTCTTAAGCAGATAGACAGGCTTGCCTCCAGCCTCCATGATAGATTTCTAAGTAGTACAGGCCTTTGATGAAAACAACTCCTTATGGAGACAAGGAAGTTTAAGCAATCTTCCTTGTTTCCAAAAAGTCAATATTTACAATAAATAAATAAATAAAAGTCTCTCCAATACAAAAATTTCACTGGACATTATTTTGCTCTTTTGTAATTTTATTATTTATTCTTTGAGAATTTCATACATACAATTTTGTCATGTTCTTTCCCCAACTCCTTACCTGACTAGACTTTCTTAACAGTGAGCTAACAATAACATAATGTTGAATACACAGCAGGTGGATAAGATTAAGGCCATGATGGAACAAAAGACGGGTCTTGTAGGGGCCATGGTAAGACAGACCTTAAGTCCCAGTACTCTGGAGTCAGAGGCAGACAGATCATCATGGCGAGGGCCATAGCGGCATGGAGAAGTAGCTAAGAATCCTATATCTTGTAGTCAACAGGAAGTCGGGGTCGATTGAGCCAAGCTTTAGCAAAAGAGACTTTGAGGCCCACCCCCCACACACACACACAGTGACACACTTTGTCCAACAAGGCCACACCTTCTAGCAGAGCTATTCCTTCCAATAGCACCACTCCAGTTGGGGGCCATTTTCTTTCCAACCACCGCACTCTCAACAATACAGACTATTGCCATCACTCTTGGTTGTCCACCAGAACTTGATGATAAGGACCTTGTAATATTGAGTTGTGTCACTTCCAGCCTGCCAAGCGCTTTACGCTTGGACTCCAACTCCCAGCCTGCCAAGTGCTTTGCGCTTGGACTCCAACTCCCAGCCTGCCAAGCGCTTTGCGCTTGGACTCCAACTCCCAGCCCGCCAAGTGCTTTGCGCTTGGACTCCAACTCCCAGCCTGTCAAGCACTGACCCCCACAGGGTATTTAAGCTCACAAGGAAAAGAGAAATAGGTGGTTTGGGGTTTGAGTGTGTGCTCCCTATGTCTTTCCCTCGCCATGCCCTCCCGGCCACCCAGGAGTGTGCCATCTATGAAACATTTAACATGGTTTAATCTG